CCCTTCGCCGGCTCCCCCCGCAGACCCCGAGCGTTTCGGTGGCTCCGCCCGGCCTCGGCAGATCCCTGTCGCCCTCTCTCTTTTCCCAGGATCCCCCGATGCCGCCCTCACCGTGTTCTTTAGCCACAGCACCCCTCTCCAAATTCTTAACACTTGCGGACCTCCCCGGGAGCCCCCCTTGACCGCCCGCTCAACACAGCTAGCCCAGCGTTACCCCACCCCTGGCTCAAGCCAGAGGGTGCACCTGAGGGCGCACCTCGGCCCAGTTTTGTTCCAGGGCCCCCTTCTTGGGGAAGGGGGTGCCTCTGGGTGGCCCAGACTTAACTTTGTCTCCCCCTCCAGCCCCATGACAAGTCCTGTACCCTTTTCCATCCTTGAAGTAATTTCTTGTGGCTTTGGAGGCCCCTCCCCACTCACAGGCATTCATCCTCCATTCTTAGTCCGGAGCCCCAAACCATCACTCGCTGCAAGGCTCTGAGGCTGCACTAGTTGCTGCTAAGGGACAGAGAGAGTGGAACTCCACCTGCAGCCCCCATCCTCCCAAACTGACTTTGGCCAGGGTTCTCTGGCCCCTCGCAGCTGCCTGGCAAGCCACCCCTCGCCCGTGTCTTTATTTTGGATTCTTGCTCTCAGCTTGGAGCAGCTCTCCTTGGCTGCTTCTGCTTTCTGTGTGCGATCCCTGAAAGGGTGCCAGGTAGCAGCACTGCAGGGTGGGCTTCTGGCTCCCCAGGCTACTCCACTGGCCCCACTGCAGGAGAGGGCACAGGTCACCAATTCTTCGCCCTCAGTCCTTCTTGCCTGGACTTAGCTCCTGGGCACAGCTGCCTGTGGCCCTGGACTGTTGACTCAGCCCCGCCTACCTGCATCCTCCAGGGAGCCATCCCCCCAGCAGGGATCTAGTGCTGGGTGCTCCCCTCCTTTTCTTCATCTTTCCTCTCTCTGTTCTCTCTTTCATCTCTCCACTCATTTTCCTCTTCCTCATCTTGACTTTAATCTTATAAACGCTTCCTCCCTATAATTTGTGAGCCATTTTTCATCTCTCTGTGTTGCCTGCCCATCTGCACCTCAGTGTGGTCTGTGCATTAACTCTTTTCTTCTCAGCACTTCCCTCTCTGCCTTTCTGTCTTTAACCCTTCGTAAGAATGGTCTTTGCCTTCTCCCATCGAACTTTTTTTTTTTTAACGACTTAGGTACAGGCAGAGGATTAAAAGAACCAAGAAATAAATAAATCAATCAAAATCTGGTTTTGTGACCTTGGCCTTAGTAATAGCATATATTAATCATTCTCCAAGTGCTAGAAATGTACACATACAAGCTTTCATACACGGGCACAACCCAGCGAGAAAGGTGTTGTGATTCCCACTTTCCCGATGAGGAAACTGAGATCAGGAGGTTAGGGAGGTGGAGGGACTTCCCCAGGTCACCCAAGTAATGGACACAGGACTAAGATTTGAACCCCAGGCTCCAAAGCCTTGACTGTGCCCATTAAATCACACTGTCCTGGGTGACCTTGGGAAAGCCCACCTATCAAAGATGTGAGTGGCACATCCACATGCATACATGGGGGTCTTTTTCTGTCCTGGGCTACCAGTGTGAACCTACAGTGGGGGGTGGGGGGGTGCAGTGGGGGTGGACATGTGGAATCTGGCCTTTCAAGTCCTCTGATTCTAAGTCCTCTCCTGCCTCTCTGATGCACACTCCAGTTCATTTACTCCTCCAAAATATGTGGGCCTGCCTCCCTCAGTCTCTCCTTTGTACCCTTACAATCCGCCACTATCCTCTGCAATGGGGCTTTCCGATTCTCTATGCCCCTTTCTTCAAATATGCTGACATAGTCCATTTATAGAAGTGCACACCAGGAAAAAAGGACTCCCTTATGTAAGGCAGAGTCTGTGCAAGTCCTTCATGGACCTCTGGTACAAAGGGCTGTCGCATGAGACCCACACTTTCATTCATTCATTCACCATCAAATATCCAGGGTTCCTACCAGGCGCTATATAGGGATAAGAGATGGATAAGCCCATAGGGAGCTTATAACAAGGGAGGGGGGAATTTGAGAGGGGCCGATGAAGGGAAGCATCAAGTAGCTCAGATGCTAGGCAGACAGGCAGCCAGCCATGGGTTTCTTCACTAGGTGCTTAACAACATGGAGAAATCAAAGAAAGCTTCCCAGAGGAGGTGGCATTGGTATTGAGGAAGGAAAGACTAGTAGTGAGGAAAGGACAGTGCAGATAAAAACTAGCATTTTCTATAGATTGCAAGTACTCAGCACCTGAATGAATTCATTTTCTACATCAGAGGGAGTGTCCCTCTCTGAGGCACAGCTCAACTCCCTGAAAAAAAGGCTAAACTGCCCAGAAACTTTGTCAGCCTCCACTACAGCTAGGACTTGGAGATGTGGCTCAGAATTCACCACATTCATCTGCCCTGGCTGCAGGGAAGGAGACTGAACTCAAGTAAAATCCACTTGGGAGCCAAAGTGGCAACAGTTGGGGCAGTTTCATCCAAGTTTCATCACTAGAGCAAACAATTCTTACAGCACTGCTAGGTCATACCGTCAGGAGTGTGAATTGCCCTATTTATGTCTGGCTGAAGCTGTAACAATAACATGTCCATCACCCAGGTCTGTGCTGTGATTTGGAGTGGTGCTCTTGACTTAGTCGACTCCAAGCCCCGATCCCGTGCCCTCCACATTTCTAAGTAATCTAATATCACTTGGCTGCATTCTGTATCTGCTTAAATTATCCACAATTGTTATCTGTTGCTTGCAACTAAGACACCTACCTGAGAACACTGAATGTGGTATTAAATGGAGGGCAGAGAGGGCAAAGCTTAGGAAGTGGAATGGAAGAAGATTGGTGGGAGGAGGGAGCAAGGGAGCGAGCCAAGACAGAGAAGGCAGGCAAGGCGCTTGCTGTCCATTTTGAGGAGTGCCAGAAGCACTGTGGAATCTGGAATGACCACAGGGAAGGAACTCCTATTTCTGCACACATCGCTTATGACTTCAAAACATTTTCTGGTACATCAGGGAATGATGATAAACAGTTCCTGACTTCCAGGGATAGTGAGGCTTTAGAGATAATTAGGCAAAGTGTTTAACAAAATAGGTGCTCAATTAATTGCATTTGCTGCCTGGATGTATATTCCTGGTAACAGCCAGAATAAGGCTTGGTATCCACATGTGAAATTTGAGAGTCAGCAAAGCCAAGAAACTTGACCGTGATCATGCAGCTACCTAGCAGCGGCACCCCACTCCCCCGCCTCCCAAACCCTGGTCCTGCCTGCCTACCTGCCCCTCCCATCCCCCTATTCCCAGTCTTCTTTGTTTTCCCTGTTCATGGCCGATGTCCTGTCCCATGGCACCTCTCGCCCACTCAGCTTCCCTTCCCTTCTCCTTTCCTTCTCACTCAGTCACATTTCATTATTGATTGAACTCATTCCATTCCTCACTTGATACAATTTACTCTGTACTGGCATCTCCCTGTACCCCCATCTCAGACTCCAGTGATCTGATATTCTTTTTCATTCTAACTCCTTCCCAACCTTTCCAGCCAATGTGTCTGCTTTCATCTTTCACATTTTCCTTTCTAGGTAGTTTTGAAACATTTTTTTTTTCTATTTCCAGCCCCCTCCTCCATACTGTATTCTGGCCTGTGTGTGTGTGTGTGTGTGTGTGCATGTGTGGTTTTCTTTTTTTAATTCATTTTGTTCATACCAGCTGACAAAGGTAGCCCAGCATAATTGGAAAAGCAGGAATTGGGGATGCTGACAGGCTTTTATTTAGATATCATCTTTGCTATTTACCTACTGGGTCAAGTCACTTAAAAATGCCCCTACCAGACCTTTCATTTTCTCACTTGTGAATTGGGAAACGCAGTAGTACCTACTTCTCAGAATCATGATGGGGATGGATAGTGTATGAAAATGCCCATATCAGGTTCTCAATAATGTTGCAAGTCCAGCATCTTGGGGTATCTCCCTTTCTTCTTCTTCATCCCCACTGGGACAAGAACCCCACTGTTACCACTCTGCTCCAGACTTATGGGTCTCTTGTCTATCCCTGGAATGTTTCAAGTTCTGAAGGCTCCAGTGATTTCACACCAGCCCTTCCATCTGCTGGAGAGCTCCTTCTAGACCTCATTTTGCTACCTTCCCCTGACCTGCAAATCTTGGAGGATAAAGCAGTCCTTCTATCACAAAGCATGCAGCCTAAGCCAACCCCTGTGTCTTCCCTGCCTTGTCCTTTCATACGTCCTTACAGTTTTGTTCGCTGTGCTCATTCCCTATGTTAACAATTCACCATTCACATTTC